CTCTTTCCCATTTTCTCCCTCTTTTGACCTCCCCATTAGAGAATATGCCCTCGTGTTATCTGATGGGACTTCAGGTCGGGTACATTGGTTTTAGTTGATTGTATGAAGCAATCAACAATTACTAAGGACAAATATTACATGGGTAGAGACTAGTATCGTATTTGGGGGCAGAAAGAGGTTGGACTGTAGCTGCTGGCTATGATGGAGGCTCACAAAACCAAACAGGACCAGGAGACAATCATGCTGTGTGAGAAGCAGATATTTGAAGGAGTGTAGCTTGATTCTCTTAATGCAAGTGGTAAACGGTTGCTGGTCTGGGCATATCTGCATATTAACAAGACAATATCCTACAGAGAAGTAATATAGTCTACATTTATAACGTTTAAATAAACAGGAACTTTGGTATTTTTTCATTACTAAATATTTGCCTTTCAGAAGTTGCCAAAATTAAACAGTCTACCATCAGCAGTGGTACCTGAGAAAACATTTTGCAATCTCTAGCAAATGACACTAATTTAGTGCAAATGAAACACAACTGAAACCTAATTATCTCCTAAGAAGAATCCTTCACCTTTAATAGGTAAGTAACATCATTCATGTGACTTTTTTGTATTGCACCATTAGCCATCACCCATATCTTTTTGGTGGGGTCAGAAGGAAATGTCTGGTTGGCTTAGTAATGTGAGAACCAGGGAAGGGGGGCAGGGAAGGGAAATGCTGCTTCTTTCTTTGCTGTGCTCTTAGAAAGCAGGAGCGAAAGCAGTGAAGGGGAGCAGCAGAGAGCACAGGAACGCGATGCTGCCCCCTGCAGGTGGTGCAGGGGAGAGAAAAGAGTCAGCCTTCGTCTACAATTCCTGCCAAGAGCATCCGCTACACCAGATGCTGAAAGGGTGGGAACGGGGTCTCTTTGCAGTAATTCCACCTCTTCCTCTAGAAACCAATTTAGGAACAACCCCTGGATTGCTTCCCACACCCTCCTATTCTTTCCTTGAGTGGTGTCTGTAGTGGCTGACAGAATCCCTTTCCTTGCTTGGTCCTCCTTACTAAGCAGCAGGATTCCAGAAACTCTTAGATAATGTTACAACAATCTGTATTGTTGGTCTACGGAGCATCAGACTTATTTTTGGAAAAAAAAGACACCCAAAAAACCCAGTAGAAAAATCTTCCAGGCACTTCCCTGCGTATAGCATAGGGTTGGCTTTCTTACCGTCAGAGAGGGATTCATAGTCATAATCATATTCGTCCTCTTCATCTTCCTCTTCTTCGTTATTAGCAGGTGGAGGGTTGGCACTGCCACCATTATAAGCCTGAGCTTGCATGGATGCTAGCTGATGAGCCTGTAACATATCAATAATTAAAGACTGCAGATGCCCAGCTACTAAACTTTCATTTATAGCCTACCAAATGACCACCTAAGGCTTATCATAAAAAGTGGCTTAACCTATTTTGATTATTTGAGAAAAGCCCCAAAACTCTATAGTCACTTAAAGCACAACGTCAATACTTAAGTGAGTGTTAACGTCCCTACAGGAGGAATCCGGGAGCTTTTAGGAAACAATCACAAGGATTCCGTGTGTGGTGCCCAGCCATCCAGGTTTCCTAGGACAACCCCACCAGGAGAAACCTGGGTGCTTCAGAGAACCACCATCAATCCCAAATGATGAAGCAGCAAATCAGCCCATCCATTTTGGAAAAGTAAATCTCTGCTAAGAAACTGGGTTTTTTCCCCCTTCTTAAAATACTATCTGAAGGTCTTTGACCTTGAGAAAAATGTTACAATCCCTATGGACGAGACTAAAAGAATCGTTGATTTAAATAAAGTTTTTTCAACAGATCTTTGTTTGAACCGTCAGTCAGATTAACAAAATAGGCCTAGAGATTTCTGGAAAATTGATGTGTGCTATCGGGGAGGTCATGTGCCTCTACATTTGACTAGAATTACTGTGAAGGAAGATCACAGGACACAAGAATAAATATAAATCTGGGAGCCTAGCATAAGGAAATAGTCCAAAATATAGGCAAAGTTACTTGCGTGAATTAAAAACAGGAAGCAACCTAAAAGTCTAACAATAGAGGAATGACGTCAGTAAACTATGGTGTATCTGCTTGAGAGAATAAGACTTGACAAATAATTGTGATATATATTTATTGAACAAAGGATACAGAATTTTGTGTGTGTATAGATATAAATAATATTTATACATGTAAGCATATACATATATACATGTATCTATGCAAATATATATATAATTCTATATCCTTTGTTCAATAACTATCTTTCTGTCTACATATAATGATTATAATTATATAAAACAATGTGCATAAAAGACTAACTATTAAATGTTAATACGGTAGGGATTCTTGACCTGTTTTTATGGCCCAGGCCCCTTAGGCAGTCTGGTAAGGTAAGGTCCCTTCTCAGAATGATATTTTAAATGCATAGAACAAAATATATAAGATTACAAAGGGAAAAAAGAATGTTGATACAGTTATCAAATCTTAAAAAAAATTTGTGCTATAGGAATATATGTTTATTTATTAACATAGTAAAAAATACATAATGGTAGGTCAAGTAACGTTTCTGAAATAGTGATGAGCATAAATAATTCTTGGAGATATTAGCAACAACTGTGATATAATATGAAACATCTGTGATTTCTACTGGTGACAGAGACATAGATGCTGCCAACTTTACTGTGGTTTGTTCCCTACATTTATAATCAGAGGAAAGGCTAAATTTCAGCTAGAGGTTAGTGAAAATGAAGATGTAATTTTTTTTCGGGAATTCCCTGGTGGTCCAGTGGTTAGGACTCTGTGCTTCCACTGCAGGGAGCACGGGTTCAATCCCTGGTTGGGGAACTAAGATCCTGTAAGCCGCACGGCGCAGCCAAAAAAAAATTTAATTTTTTTCATCTAATTTCATGGACCCCCTGAATTCTGTCTGTGGATATTACTAAGGTTAAGAATCCTTGTGATACAAGTTGTGTTTGGCTTTGGAATTATGTGTGTTTTAAAATAATTCTTCCTTAAGCTTTCCGAAATGTGGTTATATTACCTTTATAATAAAAACATATACATAAGGAAGATACAATGTAGGCTATGTTGGTATCGAGATAAATCTTTTACATGCAGTCTACTCCAAATAACTGGGCATTGTCTAGGCTCAACATTTTTATGGAACACTAGCTCCATGCGTGTTAATAGCTGTTATGTAAAAAAATGAGAATTACGCTAACCACAAAACACAATGGAAGTTTAAAAACAGCATCTTACAGAAACTGAGTTTCATAGAGCCTTCATTAAATATGCTAAAGGGCATCACGGTCCTTCAAAGATCTCCAGTGCAGCATTTCCCACACTTATTTAACCAGGGAAATTTTCTTTTCTTTTTTCAGAGTGTCTCACAGGAGTAGCGTTCTTCCAAGCTTTGGGAAATCTGCTCTAGGCACAAGTGAGCTACAAAAGCAAGTCTATCTGTCCTGGATAAGCAAAGGGCCTTCCTGCAGTAAACATGCAGGGTGGAGCCAAGTACCGAGAATGATGATGCCAAGAGCCTGGTGGGCCCCCGACAGAAGGTTTTGAGAACCAATAATGGGGGTGCTGCCGTTCAAAGTCCCACTACCAGCAAATGTCAGAAGGTGGAGTGTCAAGGTCCCTTCGATGCTCAGGTACTTCCCCCAGTGCAGGAAGTATGGGACAGGTGGCCCAGTGCCAGCCAAGAGCTGACTTCCTTATTCTTCGCCATATCCTATTTATTTTGAGGCAGAAGAACAGGACCCCAGCCCTTGATAAAAGCAATTCAGATATAGGCCCGGGGGTTAGAGTGGGGTGTCAGGTGAAGAAATGGCTCACATGGGTCCAGGCAGGAGCCATGTCTCATTTGCTCTGTTCCCCCAGCCCCTAGCACAGCACCTGTCACTGAGTGTGAACTGCCTGAGTCTAGCAGGTTGGAGTTCAGGAGACCAAGGGCAGAATACTGGTGATCTGGCGGGGTGTAGTTAAGGATCGTTGGCAAGAGCCTTAGCACAAGCTTGAGGCAGATGGAGGGCTTCAGAAATCCTGCTCTGAGTCAGTGCATCCTTGCTAAGGGTGAGCTCCTTGCACAGAAAGGACCCAGACCTTCTAAGTCAGAGGGTTGGTCTGAGCACACTGGAGCTCCTGGCATGCATTCACCCAACCCCGTGTGAACTCAGATCACCAGGTCCAGACCCACAACCTGCCAGGCAATTAAAAGGTCTTGCAGATATGACTGTCAGTAGTCCTTGGGAAATCATGGGGCTCTGGAAGCGATTTAAAAAAACTGAAAATGGGATTATATTGTCCCATTTTTCCAAAAGGAGGAAGAGGTAAGTTGTGGAAGTTGTATGGTAGAAAGTGTCAAAGTAATACCTGACAGAATGGATTATTTGGTTGTGAGAACACAGAAAATAAAGAGGCGATTAGCAAGAAGCAGCATAGGTTTATTAAGAACAAATCTCCCACACAGTAACCTCTTTGGACTTTGCGGGTAAGGTAACTCACTTTGTGGGAAATAACAGATAAGCAGTGTTTTCCAACTTTCAGGGGGATAAGAATTATTTTTAAATAAACAGATTACCAAGTCTTCCTTATGGAAATTCTGATGTAGCTGGGCAGATTTGGGACCTAAGAATCTGTGTCTTTGAAAATGCCCCAGTGATTGTTATCAACGTATCCTACTTCTGTGTTGTCTTTGACAAGGTCTTCCCTGAAGACCTGAATCAGAATCCTGGCTCTGCCACTATGAACTGGGTGGCTTGGAGAAAGTCCCATAAATGCTTAGATCTCAATTTCTATTCTATAAAGAAAGAGGTTGAAGCAGATTCTGCAGAAGTCTGGGCTTCAGAGAAGAGAGCACCAGACAAGAGTGATAATAATCACCTAAACTTGAGGGAGGTCCTGCAAGAAGGGCCACAGGGCTCTCCACTTGGCCGTCCGGCTCAAGGGCAACTTGGGTGAAGGCACAATTTGGAAAACTGCTAATAAATAATTGGATGACAAATGTCAAAATCCACAAAGAACCTTGTATGCTATAATAACAAACCAAAACCAAGAAGAGCAAGTTTAACAGAGATAAATGTGAGACTCCTGCTGCACAAAAGTTTAAAATTAATTGTAAACCTGGAAAAATGGGGAGACTAGGCATAAGTTTAGTCCTGTGAAAATAACTGAACTCTTTGCTCTCCACAAACTCAACATGAGCCTGGTAGGCGTTAAAGAATTTAAATAGCGAAAACAGTTCTAGGTTGTATTAACTGAGGTATAAAGTTCAAATTAAGAGAGGTGATGGTTTCACGGTCCCTGTGCTGTCAGACCCTGAGCATTGACTTCTGGAAATCACGTCTTAAGATTCACAAATCCAAGCATATCCACAGACGGAAGAATATCCAAATATTCTTAATGGAAGTGAAGATTTGACGATTGTTCCAAATAGACTACTCAACTAGGTCAAACTGGACTTTTGACTCAATTTGACTTGAAATTAAAAAAAAACCATTTTATTGGAGTATGGTTGATTTAAAATGTTGTGTTGGTTTCTGCTGTACAGCCTGACTTGACATGTTTTAATCAATGACTTAGGACAAAGGTTCCAAATCTGTTGGGCTCATAAAATCCATCTGTTCTCTGGGAACCACTTAAAGCAGAACTGGAGTAGGGCCTGGAGGCTTGGAGGTGATGCTCAGAGAGAAATTAAAAGCTCTAGGCCGTGACCTAGTTTTACTTTGGACTGTCCACGCTGCCGGGGCTGCACCATTCTAGTCCCGTGGGGGCCTGAGGTTCACGCAGCAACTCTTGGTTGCTGTAATTTTCAAAAGTGGTGTTTCAGGGCCAACAGTGCTCTCCTAAATAGGACAAATAGTTTTGGCAGCTGTCATTCTGGGGGATGAGTAAGTTCAACCTGGCATATGGACTCAGTGGTCCTGGACCTGAACTTTTTCACAGATCCTTGGGCTGAGGGCCCTCCTATACAGGCAAGTCTGTGGTGCTCGGGGACTAGATCTCCATGGGTGAGGCAGGTACAGAAGTGCCTTGGGGTCCATATGCCACAGTGATACACTGTGCCAACTTCCATGCTGGGAGCACAGGGCTGCTGCTATTGGGGTTCTACTACTGACCTCAGGAGTCATAACCCCATGTCCAAGTGCTCTCCCGACAGGGGACTCTTCTTAAAGAGGACTATAGCGACCACTGTGGGACTGACAGCTGTGAAGCCCAGGCCCAGAGACAAGAGTCACTTATTATCCTGCTCAGAATAGATTAAATAATGAGGTACATTCTACATCAATTTTTCAAAATAAAATTTTATGTAAGTGGGAAAAGTATTTTTCAGTCTATTCAGTGGAAAGCCAAAAATCAAATGTATCATTCAAGGAAACTGAATCTTCAAAAACTGGTTACCCATCAGTCATCTGAAAGGTTAGAATGACATTAATTTCTTTGTTCTGGGCACACAGCATACTCATAACTTCTTTAATAAGAGAGTACCTTTTGCTTTAATATATCCACCGGTGTCTGATGGGCTTTTAACTTCTTATTTTTGAGAAGCACTTTCCTCCTGAGTTGGTCAGGTGAGGGAAGCATTGGATCATCTGAGAAATCACTCTCAAATAAGAATTTAGCCACCAGTTTTTCTCCAAACACAGTCTAAAAACAGTAAAGGAAAACAAATAATCAATGCCCTTTATCTATACCTGAATCATCAGCTAGATATTTCAGCCCAGTTGAATTGTTCTAAAAATCCTAGGAAGAGGAACTAGGAAAGATGTTGTATCCGTGTGTCCCCCGCCCCCCAGCCCTGCATAGTATCTAACTGGAAAGAAGGGAAGTGGTTAGAAGGCCAGGAGGAGGGGTCTAGGCCCCTCTCCAGGGGGGCCCAGCTCTAACTTTTAGAAAAATACTCTGGGGTCTGATGTACTAAAGAAGAAAAAGGGATTCAGTTAGAGGCTGTGATTTGTAGAATATGGTCTGTTCCAGACATGGGTAAGAAGTCACAAGGATACAAACCTTGAAGTATGTAGGAAGTGGGGACAAAAATGAAAAATAATAGGGAGAATTTGTCACCATTGAGTATAAAGAACCACAGACACCATTCTCATAAAGCTTTTCTGAGCACTGGTCTTCAAAGGGAAATGTGTATCTCCCAAGGAGGTGGGTGGTGGGGGAAGGCACAGGATGACCCATTTGGGGTGAGGGTAGAAAACATGTCAGTTTCCATTTCTAGTTACTTTTTAATGAAAAAAAGAACAAAATGGAAGCTTATTAGTGCTTAACGTACAGACTGAAAATGGCGCCCTCAGTCTGTATGTCAGGCACTGTTCATGAAGGTCCCTGAGGGACGAGGTGGGAATCTCTTGACGCAGAGGGACCAAAGGTGAGTCCCTCACATCTTTGTTTGCTAACAGCTTATTGAGATGATGATGACAGTTTGGGTGCTTTGGTGACGACGTGTGGTTAATTTCACAAAAAGACTTCTCTTTGAAATATTTCGTAATGAGATGAAAAGTTATTATGAAAATCTTTTACAACAAATAGAAGCTCACATTTTACATAAGGAAAAAGCAGTTAGTTAAAGGAGTATTCTAAGTTATACAATTTTCTTTAAAAAAAAAAGTATCCTAAAATTTCGGACTTTTTCTGCGTTTATAGTGGGTAGCTGTACTTTGTTACCAGACGATGATGATGATGATGATGATAAAATCACTGTTAATCTGTTCCTATATGATAAGGGTAACGTTTTAACACTGAGTGAGAAAGTAATTGCTTTTTAAAAAAAAATAAATTTATTTATTTTTGGCTGCCTTGGGTCTTCGTTGCTGCGCGTGGGCTTTCTCTAGTCGCGGCGAGCAGGGGCTACTCTTCGATTGCGGTGGCTTCTCTCATTGGGGAGCACGGGCTCTAGACAAACGGGCTTCAGTAGTTGTGGGATGCGGGCTCAGTAGTTGTGGCTCACGGGCTCTAGAGCACAGGCTCAGTAGTCGTGGCGCACGGGCTTAGTTGCTCTGCAGCATGTGGGATCATCCTGGACCAGGGCTCGAACCCGTGTCCCCTGCATTGGCAGGCGGATTCTCAACCACTGTGCCACCGGGGAAGCACACGTATTTGCTTTTTAGATAAAATCTGTGTTCTGGAAAGAGTAAAGACAGCTGTCTAAAAATATTTCTATTGTGATGTGATTTTGTTGTAGGAAACAATGTGTGTTAACATAAAAACTCTTATGTATGCACACTCAGGCTACCTGGAAGCAGATTTTCTAATGGTTAAAAAATCCTCTAAATGAAGGATTTTAGTGGAGTCTGAACTCATCTGTTAAAAATATAAAAGGCAACACCTTTCCAATTAGTTTATAAGAAAAGCTGATTGATACCAGGAAACATATAAATTGTCTAGCCAAATTCCAATAAGAACCTTTGCCTCATTAATGGAATTGAGAAATGAGTACCATAATTTACCAAGTGCAGTTAATGACACCCCTTTTCCATCTGGATACAGGTATCTTTGTAAGGCATTTTTATCAGCTACTATAGCTGTTAAAGCCAAATACTGAAATAATAAGCTAAACTTAAAACCAGACATCCAAGTCAGTGATCACAAAAATTGCCAAAATAATGAAGTGTATTTAATCATATTACTCCCACCAAAAATTTAGATAATAAATAAGTTTATTTAAATTTTTTTATAATAGCAAAAGGGTTTTTGTATCATTAATAAATAATAGTATTTAAAGGTTATTCTTTACTTCATCCTTTCTATGCTACTCTCTTTTATGTTCTATTTTTGCATGTTTTAATTAATGTATAAAATATGTTAATAAGTAGGATATGTATATAATTTATGAATAAGTCAATACACACACAACAGGAATACATGGTATATTTTACTGATGGGGTATGCAATCAAAAACGTTTAGAGACCATTATTCTAAACGATGGCAAAGAAAAGGCAACATGAAAGGCTTAGTTTTGTTGACGTTAGTATTTGGGGACATTTCCCTCTAGCCATGCCCCTCCCTCCTACTGAGAGCCATATTCCCATAAATGCCTCTACCAGTGGAGGAAGGGGGAAGTATAATGGCGTATTTGCCCTTAAATCTGTCTGCATTATAGTTCCCTTGTATAAGGAAGAGCCGAGTGTTAACAGCACTATTCTGGTCAGTCTAACCTCTTCGCCACCTTGGATCTCCATCTATGAAGTTGGGCCACAAGAAGATTTGACTTATTTGCCCTGAGGTATTTTCAGCTTTTCCACATATAACTGACAGGTGACATCCTGGCATCCCTGATTTGTGGTACCAAAAGTGTTGGAAAGTTGGTCTCTTGTTATCTCCGAAGGTTTTCTGGAAATGCTCAGGAGACCACAGAACAGTGCTTCTATCACTCCAGCTGAAAAGATGGACCACTCAAGAGAGAGCCCAAACTCCCAGGGCGACCCTATTTCTCAGGTCTGAGGGACCTTAACTGTACGTGCTTCACAGCTGAGGTCCAGCTGTGGTGTGGTCCACAGTGGCCCCAAATTAAGCTCAACAACAGTCACAAGACAAAGGCCAAGATACCATGCCGTCATTTAGCTGATACCTTACCTTGAAAATTTCTGCCATTTTTCGTTGCTGAGGCAATGAACAGTGGTTCTCAATAGATATGATGATGGGGAGGTCAGAGTTGATAAAGGCACTGCGATCGATGGCTTCAACCACTTCCTGTGAGAGCCAAAACAGCTCATGAGAGTTCAGATATCTGCCCAAGGTGCCAAAAGGCAAGGCACTTACAGCCACAGGAAGCATCTACACTGTTTATGCACAAGACTCTGGCCAAAGTGGTTTTTATCTTTTCAAATGTATTTTCAAGTTAAGCAACAGGCTATTTTCTATAAACGCATTAAACTATTCATATTGAGTATTGTTCACATACTATGATGAACAGCTATCAGTATCCTGAATTTAACAAATCTATCTATCTATATCTATATCTATATATATATATATATATACTGAGTATAAGTAAAAGACACTGTTTTAGTTACAGCATCAAAAATGATAAGGCGTAAGATACTTTCCTGCTTTCAAGGAGTTTATAATCAAATCTACTTGGGGCAATAAGACATGTATCACATATTCACATATATTTATGCATGTATGTAAACACAGTTATCAACTACTCCTTCCCTCAATATAGGGTACAAAAAGTTTTAAGAGGGCTGAATAGGAAAATGAGTTAAAAAGAAAATGCATTTTAGCCACCATCTTCACGTACGAGACAGAAATAAGAAAATTCCTTCCAGCCCAGCCACGGTTCAGAAAAAAATGGTGTTACAGCCAAAGACCCTCTGAATGAGGATAGTAATTGCACAATGAACAAATAAACTACTTAGAATTTGAAATAATAATACAGTGAGACCAGTCTTCCTGGGTGGCCAATCTCCCTAGGTGGAATCAATTCTCATTACTTTATAATGTCATTTAATCATCTCCTGACACATGATGTTGGCCTTTGTCAGCAGGACACCGGGAGAAATGACCTTTAATTCCTACAGCAAGAGAACAGATCCTGCCTTTTATATATTATCTTATGAAGTAAAAATTTCAACAATATTATTACATGATAACTAATTTAAGGTAATGGTTACTAAACTTTGGTCAAATGAGAATCTAAGGAGAGTTCTATATCAACTTCTAGGAAAATGAACATATGCACATCCCACACAATTTGGGGAAGGCTTAAGACCCAGGATAAGAACTCCCAACCTAAGGTATAACTTGGAAGAGTCATTCATTTAAATGACGAATGAAGATAATGACTCTTTGTGATCTGATTTAAAGAAAGTTATGAAGCATTACCTTGAAGGGGATCTTGGTTGTCAGGGTGTGTCCATGATAAATGATGGGCATCCCATCATCTCCGTCCCAGCAGTCCAACTCTACACTCCTACAGCCTTGCAGGAGGACCTGTGGGATCAATGAATGAATCCACCCCAGATGAGCAAATGGAGATAAAGTCTCAAATTAAACCCAGCACAGGCTTCCACATATCAGTGTTCACTCTCCAGGCTAAAACAGAAGGGCCTAAGATTGAAAAGAAATATTACATGTTGGCCGAAGGCCACAATTTATCAGGGGTGGGGAAGGGAGAGAATAGATTAAGGTAGAAAGAGTGCTTACCAGAGCTGAATACTATTGAAAGGTAAAATTTGATAGCAAAAACATATGACCATTTTCCCATCAACTTTGGTCCCTCAAGGGACCTACACATGGTGCATCCTGAAATGAGACAGCCAGGCTATAACTCTATATCTGGGCAGATGTCAGTGGAGGTGACACAGGTGCTGATGAGGAAATGAGGCCATTGGTTCCTTAGTGAACTGGCCAAACATTCATATAAATCCAATCAGGATAAAATCTCGTCTATTTAGACCCACATTCTGCCACCACCTAATACCTCTGCTGTGAACATATAGCACGGGAGAAGAGCAGAAGCAGGGAGTTATCAAGAATTTGCCTCTTGCTGTCTAATCCTAGAACAGCCTCTATAGCAGAGATGACAAATGATCCATAAAGTCCCCTCTGCACACCCATAGCAGTCATCAGTAATCAATCATAATATACTTGCCCCCTAAGCTCTGATGTGTTATCTCACAGCCTCCTCAGCAAAGAACTCCAGGAAACACTACCAGTGAATTAGATGAGATGATACTTATTTGCTTTTCTGGATCTAGAGCTGGAAGCAGAGCTCCTGATATACGTGCTTGGGTTGCGTCTCTGTAACGTTTGCTTGGAGCAACTTCTTCCTCCATAGACTGTATTTGTGGACTATCCTAAAGATGACCATATTCTGAAAGGGTCAACCAAAGCCAAAGGTGGATATATCTGTGAACGGGCCAACTCTCTGATTTAAGAATCCACCTAACTATTTTCATGTGACAGCAGTCCAGTACTGGGGGCTAGTGGCCATTAGACTTGCTGCAACATAACTTGGACAGTGGAATCCCCCTTATTTTAATGTTTCTATGTGAGATACTTGGTAGATTCTTCCCATTGCACAGCATACAGCACCTGGTTTTCCTAGGTGACCTATCTTCCCAAGGGGAACTGATTCCTTGGCAAAGAATCCCAAGGCTATCAGTGTCTGTCAGCACTAGAGTATCTACAGGTGTGCTGCTTTGGGCTGAAAACTGTCATGTAATATGACAGGTGGGACGTGAGGCTCCCTCACCTCTGTAGTGAGCCTCGCTGGGAAGAATGTTCACTGACCGGCAGCAGATGAGATGGGTTTTCAGTATGAAAAGACTAAAGGTCCTTATCAATGTCTGCATGACATTAAGGCTTCCACATATGGCTAGAATAGGAGAACCAGGGCTGCAAATTCCAGGTGAGAACAGAGCTTTTTCTCACTTCTCATCTGCCCCATACAGTAATCTTGGGAGGTAACTGGGAGAGCTGAGAGAGAGCAGAGAGTGGTAAGAAATGAAATAAAAAGGAGCTTCATACTAAGTTTAATCACATCTGTGAGTCTATTTGAGGGGTCTCTGTGCCTTATTCAAAGGCTGTGACATTCTCTAGGTGTATGTTAAGGAGTAAAAAAAAAAACACCTCCCTGATGTCAAATAAGGAAATGCAGTAGGAGTTAAAGCTAGGACATTGGTCCCTGCTTACTTTCCTGGGATAAATACACACACAGACACACACACAGACACACACACACACACACACACACACACACACACACTTCATTTCTTTCCTCTAGAACAACGGATTTCAAACTTCTTCTTCTTTTTTTTTTTTTGCAGTACACGGGCCTCTCACTGTTGTGGCCTCTCCCGTTGCAGAGCACAGGCTCCGGATGCGCCGGCCCAGCGGCCATGGCTCACGGGCCCAGCCGCTCCGCGGCATGTGGGATCCTCCCGGAACGGGGCACGAACCCGTGTCCCCTGCATCGGCAGGCGGACTCTCAACCACTGCGCCACCAGGGAAGCCCCTCAAACTTCTTTTAACCTTGGAATTCTCGGTACAGATGGAGGGCCAATATATAAAGTACATAAAAGAGCAAATCTTCAGTGGCAGTGGTTACTGTCTGCTCTTCTGTGTCAGCAGCTGAGGCCCCTTGACAGAACTCTTATTTTGAAAAACACTACTCTAAGGACACATCTTCATTTCCTAATAAAAGCCCCTTAGATTTTAGAGTTTAAAATACATACTCCAGGGCTTCCCTGGTGACGCAGTGGTTAAGAATCCGCCTGCCAATGCAGGGGACATGGGTTCGAGCCCTGGTCCGGGAAGATCCCACATGCCGCGGAGCAACTAAGCCCGTGAGCCACAACTACTGAGCCTGCACTCTAGAGACCATGAGCCGCAGCTGCTGAGCCCACATGCCACAACTACTGAGCCCGCGCACCTAGAGCCCGTGCTCCTCAACAAAGAGAAGCCATCACCATGAGAAGCCTGCGCACTGAAATGAAGAGTAGCCCATGCTCCACACAGCTAGAGAAAACCCACGCACAGCAACGAAGACCCAATGCAGCCAAAAATAAAATAAATAAATTTAAAATGGATTTCTATAATAAAATAAAATAAAATACATACTCCATACCAGATAAACTTTGGGACAGAAGTTTCACCAATGCTTTGAGGAATATATAGACCTTTATCAGAATAAAGGAAGCTCAAGTCTGCTGGGTTGGTGTAAACAGTACAATTTTTACACTTGGACCCCCCCAACACACACACACACACACACACACACACCTGGACGTAGCTAGCTCCTCCCATAATTAACTCACCTTGTGGGAGTTCAGAAAACAGGCAGCATAGACAAGGATGTTGCAGAAAATATAACAGAAGCAACAGACATATGGATCATTGAGAGCTGGATGTTTAGGTCAAAAGGATGTGCTTTTTCTAGTCCGGAGACCCTTCTGAGTTTTCAAGAATATTCCCATGAATTTATATGTGTAGGGACAGTGTCTGCAGTCTGTAAAATTTTTTTTTGTTGGTTGTCATAGGGATAGATTAATTTTCTGACAAATTGAAAACCAAAACAAACAATATTTTGGGAATAACTTCACAGACGTTGCATTTTCTGCTATGCTTTCCCACTACAATATATTGATTTATTTAGCATTTAGTGAAGCAATTAGATAGTTTTCCCATGGGAAAATCTAATTTTAGTAGAGGTAGGTCAGACTAACCAGGATCTAAAAGCTATGAGTCTCAAACAACTACTCTTTAAATTTTGCCTAGAATAAAAGTTAAGTGTAGATGCGGGGAGGAGGGGAGAAATAAAAAGAAGTAAAGAAAACAACTATATGTATAGGTGGTTTTCCCACACGTTGTGTTTCCTCACATTTCACAATTAATAGTGTATAAGTTCTTCAAAGGAGTCTAGGGTCAGGTTTTTGTGACTTTGGGGGTTACATAAATAAGGTTTAATGAAAACCATATTCCAAGTGAAATTCTCAGTACCTGGCTGTAGAGTTCTACTGAGGATTCTCCTTTGAGTTGATGGCCTGTGAGGTAGGTATTGTGTGAAGATTCAATGTAATAGTAGGAGAGGGGCAATTGCAATTCTTTAATGTTCTCCTGCGATTCATCATTTTTCGAGGCAAAATTATCTTTATCCATCAGAAACCTAGAGGAAACAAAGTTTCTTTGAATTGCATGGGAAAAATATATACTCTTTTTTAAAAAAAATGGACTATAGTTGACTTACAATATTATATTAGTTTCAGGTATACAACATATTGATTCAGTATTTTTATATATTATACTCCATATAAAGTTATTATAAAACAATGGCTATATTCCCTGTGCTGTACATTACTTCCTTGTATCATATTTATTTTACACCTTGTAGTTTGTATCTCTTAATCCACTTCCCCTATCTTGCCGCTCTGTCAAACCCTCTCTCCACTGGTAACCACTAGTTTATTCTCTGCATTTGTAAGCCTGTTTGAAAAATGTACACTCGTAAATGATGGGCAAAGATTTTTTAAAAGTTACCTTGCAAATCCTTCAAATGACATTAGGCCCTGATGACACATACTAACACTAGGCTCGAACTTCTGCAAGGGATACAAAAAGAGTGTTATTTAAGTAAAGGAAACTAAAGGGAAAAACCACCACATCATTTTTTAAAACTGTTCTGTTTTCATCAGGAAACATCTAAACCAAATATTTAAACTAATTTAGTTATTCAGTGGTAAGGTGTAGTTTTTTAGTCTAAAAGAAAACATTATGTGTGAGTTTATTATACGAAGCATATTTATTTAAGAGAAAAAAGGAGAGTGGGAGAAAAGAATAAGACTGATTTATATGAAAACAAACGATATCGGTTTATCCAGGTGAAGATGGGGATCATAACGGCAGCTACCATAGAGTTGGTGGGAGGTGAAATGCGAGAATCCACATGGAATCCTCGGTACTTGCGCTCCATCATATTATAGTGAGCACACAATCATGTGATCTTAACCTTACATTTTTAGCATTGCCAGTGATCAAGTCCAGTTGCTGGCCAGCTAGTCCACTGATTCCCAGTTAGCTGACAAGGCAGGCTGAAAACCTAGACTAATTCTGCTGCACGTGGCGCAGCCACAAGGAACTATCTCGCCGCCCCCTAGCTCCTGCCGCCCCCTAGCGGAAGCCATCACCGCCTCTTGCCTGGGTTACTATGACAGCTTCCTACCCGCTCTCTCTGCTATCCTCCTTCCCTAGCACAGTTTATACTGCAGTGGGGCCAGAGTGACCTCTTAAAAACACAAATCAAATCATGTTACTGCCCTGCTCAAAAGTTTCCAATAGCTTCCCATCTCACATGGACTCGAGTCAAATTCCTTCCCAGGGCCTAAAATGCCTAGATGATTCGGCCCCTGCCCATCTGTCTGAAATCATGTCAGCTATTGTCCCTCTGGCATTTGTTATTCCTCACAGACTCCAAGCTCGCTCCTGCTTGCTACTCCCTGTCTGGAATGCTCTTTCCTCAGACCTTCACATGGCTTATGCATTCAGGGCTCAGCCTAAGTGTCACCTCCCCACAGTGGCCTTTGCTTACTCCTCTCAGCCCTCCTGCATCACTCCATGCCCTTTCTCTGCTCAGTTTTTTCAGAACCCATTATTACCTGAAATTACTTTATATTTTTATTAATTTATTGTCTGCCTCACCCACTAGAATGTAACTAGTATATTTCCAGGTCCTGGAACAGAGCCAGGTCCATAGTACAAGCTAAGAAACATTTGTTAAACAATCAAAGTGGCTGACAACCTAACTACTAATTCTATTGCATGTGCTAGAACTACAAGAAGCGATCGCGTACTGATTCCTTACAGTAGTCACTGAGTAAGAGAAGGCTTAGGACCTATGTTAATCATATGTTAAATAAGAACACATATATTTGGTATTAAAAAAAAAAACCAACCCTCTATTTCGGCCCTAGACTTAAAGGTGTTAGAAGGAAATATAGAAAGAGTAAATGTTTACAGAAAATAATTAGCATAGTTAGAGGCTTTACACATTTGCTTGCATACCAAATGGGTACAAACCTGGATGATGCTGAGGATTTCATCATAAGTGTAGTGTTCTCCTTGGCAATTCACTAGGAAGTCATTGAGCTGGAGGATGCCAACTCCAAATACGCCCAGGGATGTGCTCTCCACCCCAGTGCCATTTGTCACGATACTTGCAGCAGCAATGGCATCAGATATCTGCCTCTGGTTGTCGGACAGCTGCTGTTTACTCTTAATGAATAACCCCAAATCGGAGACATTTCTGGTCAACAAATCTGAAAGAGAACCACCCACAGAACACGGACAGGCTAGCCAGCGTCTTTTATAAAGTTCATTTTGGAGATAATGGTGTTGTGGAAATATTAAGCTGGAGAAACTCTTCACTAATCTGTCTAAACAAGCCATCAAACTCAGTGGAGTTTGATGGAATATAGTTGAAGGAATAAGGTTCACATAGTTGAAGGAATAAATAAAAATGAATCAATGAATAAATAAAAGAAACTAAGAGAGAGCGAGGTCAAAGATTTTGAAAGCCCATAAGCTTCAGTATTAGATGGAAACTAAATGTACATTTATTTGGGGATTTCAGGCTGTATTCAGTCTTTGGTTTTTGAGACTAGCTACTGCTACATCTTTATGTTTGCAGAAATGGAAGACATACCCTTAAGATTATAGTTTTTTCTGTACTTTAAAAGTGTAACTGTAAACATTTGTGTGCAGATTTCTGTGTGAACATAAGTTTTCAGCTCATTTGGGTAAACGCCAAGGAGTACAACTGCTGGATCATACGATAAGAGTACATTTAGTTTTGTAAGAAACTGCCAAATTCTCTTCTGAGGTGGCTGTACCATTTTACATTTTCACCAGCAATGCCCTGATTGCTCCACATGTGCACCCATTTTGGTATGGCCAGTCATTTTCATTCTAACCACCTTGGAGGACAGTCAGTTTCCTGCAGAGCTAAACACAGACTTATCATATGATCCAGCCACTGCATTCCTAGGTGTCTACCCAAGTGAGCTGAAAACTTACCTCCACAAAAACCCTGCACACCAAATATTTATAGCAGCTTTATACATAACTGCTAAAACTTAGAAGCAACCAAGATGTCTTTCAACAGGACAAATATCCATACAACAAAATATTATTCAGCAATAAAAAGAAATGACCTATCAAACTATGAAAACACACCGAGAAACCTTAAATGCATATTGCTCAGTGAAAGGAGCTAGTGTGAAAAGGCTACATATTATATGATCCCAACTATATGACATTCTGGGAAAGTCAAAACTATGGAGACATGGGCTTCCCTGGTGGTGCAGTGGTTGAGAGTCCGCCTGCCGATGCAGGGGACACGGGTTCGTGCCCCGGTCCAGGAAGATCCCACATGCCGTGGAGCGGCTGGGCCCTTGAGCCATGGCAGCTGAGCCTGCACGTCCGGAGCCTGTGCTCCGCAATGGGAGAGGCCACAACAGTGAGAGGCCCACGTACTGCAAAAATAAACAAACAAACTATGGAGACAGAGAAAAGATCAGTGGTTGCCAGGGTTCAGAAGGAGAGTGGGAGCAATGAAAAGATGGAGCACAGGGGATCTTTAGGGCAGTGGAACTATTTATTCTGTATACTTCTGTAATGGTAGATACATGTCATTATACTTTTGTCAAAACCCCTAGAATGGGCTTCCCTGGCGGCGCAGTGGTTGAGAGTCCGCCTGCCGATGCGGGGGACACAGGTTCGTGCCCCGGTCCGGGAAGATCCCACATGCCGCGGAACAGCTGGGCCCGTGAGCCATGGCCGCTGAGCCTGCGCGTCCGGAGCCTGTGCTCCACAATGGGAGAGGCCACAACAGTGAGAGGCCCACATACCGCAATAAAAAAACAAAACAAAACAAAAAACCCTAGATTGTACAATACAAACAGTGAACACTAATGTAAATTATGGACTTCAGTTAATATATTAATATTGGCTCAACTGTAACAAATATACCACACTAATACAAGATATTACTAAGGGAGGGAACTGTATGTGTGTGTGGGAGCGTATATGGGAACTCTCTGTACTTTCTCCTCATTTTTCTGTTAACCTAAAACTGTTCTAAAAAATAAAGTCTATTAATTTTTTAAAAAGTGTCACTACTGTGCTAGTTCATAGTTATGCACATTTATGACTAAAGTTGAAAAATATTTTTAGCATAAGGACAATATGTTTTAAAATAATTAAAAAGCAAATGCATGAGACAGGACATTTTTTTTTTTTTTTTGCTTTTTAGTGTTTATAGTTTCCAGCAAGAACAGAAGAGAAAAATAATAGGCTTAAAATGCATGGGTGGTGATGGTAATGGTGGTGGTGGTGAGTGGGATCAAGGAACTAGACATTCTGGTTTACATATTAGGAAAAATGTCCTGGATGTTCAGACAGGAGTGCTCTGCTGAGGTCACGAAAAACTCTCCTGTCAAAGGGCAGACAACTTCCACCCTGGGGTTGAGTACCCACCCACCTGGAGGCGTGGAAGAGACTGGTGGTTCCCAACTGGGATATGCCACACACCTTGTGGACTTTTGGAAATCAGTGGGAAAGGATTTTAGCTGTCAGAATGACTGGGAGGCTCTACTAGTGAAATATTCTGGAATCCATGGACAGACCCACACAGTGATGAATTTCCTTGTCCAAAATGCTAAAGATACGCTTTTCCCTGACACCTCCATTAGAAAGATAATTCTCTAAGCATTTCATGATGCTCCAGGTAGCAGCATGCCATGTGGGACAGGCTAAGGGCTTGTGTGATTGGATCTCTAACTTTCATTTTTAGGTAGAAAGGTCTCAAAGGGAAATATTAAATTCTCGCACAAACCTAGGTCAGGCTGAAGACCACTGGTGTTTTCGTCAATGGTCAGGTTGGTGTAGAGGGGGGCCGCCGTGGAGCCGGCTCGGTCGCAGGGTACGGCATAGATGTCAAAGAGATCCTTCAGGTCCTTGCGGCTCCTCACACTGGGTGCGGGATGGAGAACACCTCACCTTTGGCATTGTTATAACAAGGTAAGGGTCAGACAAGAAAGGCTAAGAAGAAATCCAGCCATACCTGAATGATTTGAACAGCTCAACAAACTCCACAAAACTCATGCTGCTGTCTGAAACCATGAAGCTCTGAAAGCCCTTCATTCCTCCTTTGATCCGCCCATGCCAGCTGCTGCTGCTCCAAGCACTGCAACAAAGACATGGCCTTAATGGGCAGAACCGGGACCAGTTTTGTCATTCTGCCCCAAGAGACATTCTCTGATTAGCAACATGAACAAAAACATGGACTGTAAGTCATTGAAGGTTTAGGCTCTTTTCTTTTTTTTTCTCTAAGCATTGCTTTAATTACGTACATCTTTTCATTTCTCTCAAAATTAATCCACATTGCATTGGAGAAAGTAAAACATTATACACTGAAACCACTTTATGTTTATAGCTTATTTAATAAGGGCACAAAGTTGAGGTTAATATTCCTCTACTAATCATAACAGTTCTTTGAAATCTCAGGTCAATGGGAGAAAAAAACCCCATAAATTCAGTGGTTTTGAAGAAAAGTCATTTTAAAAAAGAGCTCCAAATTATTCAGTCATGACTTATGGAAGATTATGCATGTTCTTTCCCATATTCTAAAATATAGAAACACATTTAAGAAGAAAATCTTGAATGTATCAATGTCTTCTCTTTTTCCTTTCTTAACCAGTTCTTACATGAAAACAAGGACGGGCTTTTAATGTTAATGGAAAATGTGAGTCACAAAAATATTAAGGATGGAAAGAAGCCAACTCTGCCTAGAATTATATTTGCACCTACCAAGGCTGGATGTATTTAATATAAAAATATCAGTCAACTGGGTCAAAAATTCAGTCTAGCTGTTTCACAATATTTTTAAAATTTTCTACACTGGTTTCCTGAGAGTATGAGAAATGTTTTGACTGGTTTTTGGTCAAATCAATGACTAGGATGGTTTTCTTTTTTTCATTTTTGCTTTTGTCTCTTATTTTTTACTTTCGAAATATTTCAAATATGTAAGAAAGTAGAGAGAATACTGTAATGAATAGCTAGTTTGTCCTCAATCCTGCCAAGAGTGTTTATTCATGAAAAATTATTTTGTGTTGACATCAGAAGATCACCTCCATTAGTGGAAGAGTAATACAAATGGACAGATTTATTGTACCTTGTAGGCTTGGGTTATTGATCACCATTGTGGTATGGGAAACAGAGGGTGGAGGTTCAGGAAGAGGAAAAAGATCCGATAACAAAATGGCTTATCATTTGCATTTAAACAAGTACATTCCCTGCCTTCCTTCCTTCTGGTTCCAGGTTCGGCCTCTGTCTGTAGGCACCCATCTCCCTCTGACTTTAGGAAACTCTACCAGTCCACTTGTTCCCTTCCTAGGGCTCAGTCTTGCTCTCTCCTTGAAAAGCATTCAGGCTGACTTTTCTTCTCCTGTTTCGTCTTCCCTTTCTGGTTTAGAATACTTGGTAGGCACTGCTCCCGTCCTTCTACAGCAGGGTCCTCTGATCTTGCATCTGGCATGGTAGTTTCTCTACTTTTACCTCTTTGGAAAGATTTTCCTCCTTTACTTTGTCCTTCCTTTTCCTGCTTATGAGTGATTGAAATAAAGGGAAAGACCACTTAATCCAAGTTCTCTGGCTATTTTATTTACCCGGGATACTGTATAGGCTGAAATATAATGTAAAGAATTCTGATTCTTTGTAGCTTTAATTTTGTTACAGACGTACAAACCGGGCTTCCCTGGTGGTGCAGTGGTTAAGACTCCACCTGCCAGTGCAGGGGACACGGGTTCAAGCCCTGGTCCGGGAAGATCCCACATGCTGCGGAGCAACTAAGCCCGTGCACCACAACGACGGAGACTGCGCTCTAGAGCCCGCGAGCCACAACTACTGAAGCCCACAGGCCTAGAGCCTGTGCTCTGCAACAAGAGAAGCCACCGCAATGGGAAGCCTGTGCACTGCAACGAAGAGTAGCCCCCGCTCGCCGCAACTAGAAAAAGCCCGAGCACAGCAACGAAGACCCGAGGAAGGCAAAAATAATAAATAAAATAAATTAATTAAAAAAAAACCCCAAACCCCTACAAACCTCGCAAGAGTGGTATAAAGAATTCCCATGTACCTGTAACCCAGTTTCATCAAGTGTAGAAATTATGTTCATTATTCATATTGTGAAAGGATGCTTCCCTTTAAAAGATGAGTCACTGTAGGGTTCTTTTCTGTAGCAAGCTTCCCAGGAAGAGAGGAAGGGGGAAGGAGGGGTGTGTGTGTGTGTGTGTGTGTGTGTGTGTGTGTGTGTGTGCACGCGCGCATGCACGCGTGTGTAAAATTAACGTTTCTAAAGCCAATATCTGTACAGACTCACTTCCTTCTCCCATTCCTCTGTTTGACGAAGTAAAGAATGTCTGTCTTATCGTGGTTCTGTCTGGAATCTTTGCATTTCTTAAACTTTAGTATGGGGCTGAGGGAGATGGTGTGGCGTTCTGATTCCTTTGAAAGACTTTCATTTTAATATTATTTCTTCTGAGAGGGTAGCTGTTGTTTCAAATCTGTAATTTGCATGGACCTTACAAAATAATTTACACTAATACCAGCTAAACCGATCTAACTTGCTGTAAGACATTCACTTCTCTAGTCGTGTATATCTCATACATGAGAAGAGTGCAAAATATATTTCACCTATTAGCAAAGGGTCAAGCTGCTTACATTAAAACTTAATTTATTCTTCGTTTAGAGCAGTGCTATCCAATAAAACTTTCTGCAATGATAGAAATGTTCTTTATCTGCACTGTTCAGAACAGTAGACACCAGCCACTGGTAGCTATGGAACACTTTTAATGTGGCTAGCATGACTGAGGAACTGAATTTGAAATTTTATTTAATTAATTAAAATTCGAATTTAAATAGCCACTTAACATTTTGTCCCTGTGGCTAGCAGCTGCTATATCAGTGCAGATTTAGAGACTCACAGCTCAGATTTTGTTACTGCTACTGATCCTTGAAGGGTTAGTCTGTCAAAAAATGAGAAGCAGTCACAGTAATATGAGAAGGCAGGAATATAAAATCAAGAAAATTAGGAACTTTAAAAAAATTGGGGGTTTTCAGTTTTAATGTGATTGTTAAGTCAAAATTAGAGATAGTCTCTCCATAGAGCACTGGGAGAGGATGCCCTTCTACACAACCTGAAGGGTGTGAAGGGTCCTTCTGTTTTGTCATGTTAAGGCCCCACCTGGACGGGCTCTTGTTTGAAGAAGACAGCACAGGGGAGGACACTGGCCTGATGGGAGATGACGTGCCGGCAGCCAAGTTAGGGGACCCAGCCGTGGTCAAAGAGTGGGCTCTTCTGGAAGGGAGAGGGTTAGGAGGGCTCATGATGGCGTTCGCCTCTGTGAGGGTGAAAGACAGAAAAGAGACCATGACTCCGATTATACTTGCCCTCAGAAATCAAATGAAAACCAGAGATGCTTCTGAACGTCTGAGGAAATCAATCCATGCAGGTAATTAATGTACAAGAAGCATCAAAATATTCTGGTGGGTTCTCAGTCCTGGCTACACATCAGAATCATCTGGGGAGTGGGACTTCACTGGCGGTCTAGTGGTTAGGACTCTGTGCTTCCACTGCTGGGGGCATGGGTTCGGTCCCTGGTTGGGGAACTAAGATCCCACATGTTGTACAGCCAAATAAATAAATAAATAAACAAATAATGAGTAAATGGTAAAAATTAAAAAAAAAAAAAAAAGAATCATCTGGGGAACTTAAAAAGTGCATAGATGTCCAGGTCCCAGACAGAGAGTGTCTAAATCAGTTGGGCTGGGGTGTGGCATCCAGATATTTTTTAAAAGCTCTGATATCCAGCTAGGGGATAAGAATCACTGGTCTAATCTATCAAATTGTATCTTTTATATCTAATATTCCTTGTCAGTAATGGCAAGTTACTTAATGAAATTTTCTTCTTAATTACACTTGTGTTTGCAAACTTGTATTTGCAGAAATACCTCTTGGGTTCCATCATCTAGTGAAACACAAAGGTAAGTATATAATGTGATAAAGAGTTTTGTTAAGAATGCCCACAATATTTAAATCACAATTTAAAACCAAATGCATATATTTTTCCATTAAAAATTCTCAGATGTAAAGACGCTGCTTTACCTGATTCTTCTTGTTCATTAACGTCTTGAGGGTCAGAACCACTCCGGCTCCGACACTCTTTGTGCGTTTTGGCTTTGCGGGTGGCCATCTCGTCATCAGTGGCCTCTCCACTCTCACCCTGGGAACACAAAACTCACATCGTTTCTCATTCTGTATTTCTCTCCCATCACTGCTTAGTTCAGGTGGGTCCGTATTTTCTCACTGACCCACCTTCAATACCACCTCCACTTGACAAAAATAGTAAAGACCTATGTGAAGGCTGACCAGCTATTCTCGTGTTATATTTATCCCATGTGTTCTTCACTAAAATCCAGCACTCCTCTGGGTAGGGTGACAAGAGGAGGAATAAGACCCCTGGAATCTGTGTAGAGACAGTTATGAAGCAGACAAAGTTCAACTTAGGCATCAACACATGTCTTAGGCCTCCCATATGCAAAGACTGGGATTTCTTCTAGTTAACCATGAAGAAAATATATTATCCTGTTAGAGTGAGAATATAAATAATGTAATATATAATATATAGTGATACATATATATATATCTGGGTAAAAAAAAAACATAAAATTTACCATCTTAACCATTTTTAAGTGTAGAGTAGAGTACTGTTAACTATTTGTACCTTGTGCAACAGATCTCTAGAACTTTCTCATCCTGCAAAACTGAAACTCTTTGAACAGCTCCCCTTTTCCCCTTCCCCTTCCCCCTGGCAACTGCCATTCAGCCCCATATTTTCCTTCTCTCTGCTCCCACAGCACTTTGCAGACAGCTTGACAGTGACTCTTATTTAGATCTCACTGTGTTTGTTAACATCTCTGTGTCCCTCTACGGACCTTGACTTTTCCCTGGTGTTGACTCAGTTCCTATCACTGGGCCTGGCATCCAGGAGGCAGTTGGTAAGCTCTTGTGTTTCATTTGTTTTACACCTCATCTTGTCCCCAAGCCAAATGACCTAAGGTAGTTTATGGTGATGTAGACCATACAATGCCCCTGGAATACTGGGGTTAATGCTTAATAAATAAACTCTACCCTCATAAGGATTTTCTTCTTTTTCTTGGAGGTGCTTATACCCAAGGTGTTGTTTCTCTGCATGTTGGGCTTCTCAGCACTCTTTGCTGATGTCCCGGGACTGGGGTTTCGAGTATTCCATCGTCTGCCGCCAAACAACTCCACAGCGTGAGCCAAAGTTGGGCCTTCATATCGTCCATCCTCCTGTAAAAGAACCACATTCTGAACACATAAGGAAAGAGCAAGCAATGGGGAAGTAAATATATTAACAGCTTCCCGTAAGTTCCCAGAGGTGGAGGAAAATAGGCTGTCACCGAAGAATAACCATCTGGCCACGCAAGTGGCTATTTTCTAACTGTCAGAACTCTCTGTTAGGGATTTCATCGTGTCCCCTGTTGTCCTGGTCACACCCTGCTGAGTTCCAGTGATGTGCTTTAATAGGGCCACGTTCAACTGGGATTAACAAAAAAATTTCCCTTCCCAGTTTCAGAGGTTATGGTCCAGAATTATCACTGCAGGCAAATTCATTAAGATGTACTTTGCAGATCTGGGTTTTGGAGGACTTGGAGGGTGTACATGTGTGTACGAATCTATTTAAGTAAAATCAAGTTCTATTTGCTATTGCATCACTCCAGTGTATTTTCACCTAGTTCGATGCTTGGGACAGTCTGAACTGAAGTCGGAGTAGGTAGAGTATACAAAATTCACTTTGGAGGGCTCTGGGAACACCTTGAGTAGTTGAGCTGCCATCCTCTTTTTTTTTTTTTTTCTTTGTTGGATAATTTTTTAATAAAACGAGGTGCACACCACTGATATTAAGAATGGCATATGCGCAAAACAAAACAACCCTTTTTGGCTAATGGCTGGAGAAGGAAGCAAAAGCATGAGAAATGGAGCTGCCATCCTCTTGAGTGACTGATATCCAAGGATAGAGAGCCCAGGGTACTCAGAGCACCATGCATATTATGATGTTGTGAGCAGCAAAAACATACTCAGTGGGTAGGTGATGGTTTACAATAGCTGCTGCTTGTAAGGCAACTCTGTGTAACATGCATTGAGTATCAGCAGGGATTCATTAATCCCTATTGATTAATAGTGAGTAATCCCTCCTGATTAATGATCAGTGGTCAACAATTCTCCTTATAAGTCAGGAAAGTCAGTTAATAAAACTACAGAAAGGTCACATATGAATTAAAAACAATACTGATGATATTTCACAGGTTGTAGAAAAGGTACCTCTTAAAATTAATTTCCATTTACTATCTTTACTTTCTGCAAATTTTTAAGGTTAGTCCTCCTTTGCAATTCCAAATAAGTGCTTGTAAATAGATTTTGCTTTGTTGTAGATAACATTCAAATAATAAAGAGGCTTTACGTGTGTGTACGCGCGCATGCACACGCTTGCTCCTTCATCCTAATGTTCAATGACTATCTGATTTTATGACTGGAGTTGTGACCTCCCACTTTCTGCATCCTGTTATGGATCCCAGCATGCTGAGTAACTTGGATACTTGATGATCTTTTGAATGACATCTGATGAAACCTTTTAATGACCTTTTGTTGTGGATATCTGTGATTTATGCCTGCTTATGGATCATTTCTCTTTTCTCTAACCATACCCCAATTTTATTTGATCTCTTTTTCACTAGATATAGTCTTGGGTCTATTGATCAAAGGGGAACAGCCTCCCTTGATCAATGGTTGGTACAGGATCCAAATAAGCCAATCAGAATTTCTGTCCCTGGAAAATGAATCTTGAATGCAGTGATACAGAGAATGAAAATGCTTGGAGATGATTCCACCTGGTGCAGGCCTGCTGAAGAGAGTCCCTGATAACAAGTCACTACAACTGACTCCAAAGTGGAATAAACAATTCATGACACAATTTCATAAATAGATTTTAACTACCTTATTGCATAACATACTCTGAAAGAAACCTTGTAAAATTTTTATCTATGGGTTTTAAATAACACATCTTTAAACATTTAATAGACCCCTTCATTAAAATTTACAAGTTCTGCTCTGCAAAAGACACTGTCAAGAGAGTTAGAAGACAAGCCACAGACTGGGAGAAAATATTTGCAAAGGAATATCTGATGGTCTGTTACCCAAAATATACAAAGAAATCTTAAAACTCTACAATAAGAAAATAAACAACCCAATTAAAAAAATGGGCCAAAGACCCTAACAGACACCTCACCAAAGCAGACATACAGATGGCAAATAATCACATGAAAAGATGTTCCACATCATATGTCATCAGGGAAATGCGAAATGAAACAAGAAACCACTACACACCTATTAGAATGGCCAGAATTGAGAACACTGACAACACTAAATGCTGGTGAGGTTGTGGAGCAACAGGAACTCTCATTCATTGCTGGTGGAAACGCAAAATCATACAGCCACTTCAGAAGGCAGTTTGGTTTCTTACAAAACTAAACATACTGCTAGTGTATGATCCAACAATCACACTCCTTGGTATTTACCCAAATGAGTTGAAAACTTATGTCCACACAAAAACCTGACCATGGATGCTTACACCAGCTTTATTCATAATTGCCAAAATTTGGAAGCAACAAAGAAATCCTTTAGTAGGTGAATGAATGAATAATCTGTGGTCCACCCAGACAATGGAATTTCATTCAGAATAAAAAGAAAGCTATTAAGCTACAAGAAGACAGGGAGGAAACTTACATGCATATTACGAAGTGAAAGAAACCAATCTGAGAAGGCTACATATTGTATGATTCCAACTATATGACATTCTGAAAAAGGCAAAACTATGGAGACAATAAAAAGATCAATGGTTGCAGGGGACTGGGGAAAGGGGTGGGGGTGGAGTGGGAGAAAGAGATAACAGGCAGAGCACACAGGATTTTTAGGGCAGTGAAAATGCTCCATATAAGGGGGTTCCCTGGTGGCGCAGTGGTTGAGAGTCTGCCTGCCAATGCAGGGGACACGGGTTCGAGCCCTGGTTTGGGAGGATCCCACATGCCGCGGAGCAACTAGGCCCGTGAGCCACAACTACTGAGCCTGCGCGTCTGGAGCCTGTGCTCCGCAACAAGAGAGGCTGCGATAGTGAGGGGCCCGTGCACCGCAATGAGGAGTGGCCCCCGCTTGCTGCAACTAGAGAAAGCCCTCGCACAGAAACGAAGACCCAACACAGCAAAAATAAATAAATAAATTTAAAAAAATGTTCTATATAATATTATAGTGATGGATATATGTCAATAAATATTTGCACAAGCCCATAGAATGTACAGCACCAAGAGTGAACTCTAAGGTAAACTATGGACTTTGAGTGATTACGATGTATCAACATAGGTTCATCCTTTGTAAAGAATGTACCATTCTGGTGAGTGATGTTGATAATGGGGGTGCCATGCAGGCATGGGGGCAGGAAGTTTATGGGAAATCTCTGTACCTTCCTTTCAATTTTATTATAAACCTAAAACTGCTCTAAAAAATAAAATCTTTAATATAAAAATTTAATAGATCCATTACCATGTACATATAAAAGAATCAGCCTCCACTGCTTTGGCTTTTCTAAATTCAGAACAGGTCAACGTGTGCCAAGCTTTACTTTTTTTTTTTTTTTTGCAGTACGCGGGCCTCTCACTGTTGTGGCCTCTCCCGTAGCGGAGCACAGGCTCCGGACGCGCAGGCTCAGCGGCCACGGCTCACGGGCCCAGCTGCTCCGCGGCATGTGGGATCTTCCCGGACCAGGGCACGAACTCGTGTCCTCTGCATCGGCAGGCGGACTCTCAACCACTGCGCCACCAGGGAAGCCCAAAGCTTTACTTTTAATGGAAATATTTTAGGCCTGGAAAAGGCAGGATGCTTTCGTTTAATCTTTAAAGGAGACTCTCTGGGAACTAAAATGTAGTTTGAATCTTTCTTTCATTTTATACAAAACAATAAACTTGTTTAGGATAGGTGAAATATGTCCTTCTATTTTTAATTTGGGAGGACTATTGTGAGTGAAGGTTCATTCTCAGTTTTAGAAAACAGTTCATGTGGAAGTTGAGGATTAGGAAATTAATTCCTTAAAAAATATTCATGCACTTTTAACCCAGCAAATCTTTGCATATGATATCTTAAAGACTGAAACTAATCTAATTCTTTAAATAGATCCCATTTTTCCCCTTAAAGATAGCCAGAATCTGTTTCTGTTGCTTACAATCAAAGAAGTTTACTGATAATCCTGTGTATAACCTTCTCAGCTTCCCAGAGATCTTTCCAAGTATATGAGTTCCCAAGCTCTGCCCATGATAACCTTGAGCCAAAGCTCATGATACCAGCCTTTCCTCCACACCCCACATGGAATCTCTGCAGAGTTTACTTTCTTTTAATTTCCTGTATTCCTAGGCTTCATTACAAATGTCACTATTTCTTCTTGTCTTTTGCTTTATCTCCTGCTACTATTTCCATTAGATCAATTTACATTTACTAGTACCAAAATACTTATATTTGAAAGTAACCGTGCAAACATTCATCACACAAAAGGACTCTTATGTCAGAAAGATTATTTTCTATATAAGCTCTTCCCAAACTGAGGATAAAGAGATACACTTATAGGGCTGTTAACAGAAGTTTGGAAGAAATCAAGACTTTTCATACATTTCTTTAATTTATAGATACATTTAAGTAGGTTTCGGTTGTACTTTGAGACTTCTCAGAGCTTTAAATGTGCTAAGTTGTATTATAAGTCAGACAAGCGGAGCATTTATTTAGCATGATGCCTGTTTGACCTTTTGTTCTCCAAGTACGAAATTAGCATCTTTTTGATGTTTCCTGAGATCATTTGGGAACTGGTCTATTTGATGGGAAAATGAGTAGTCCGTTGACCTTTTTCAATTTAAAAGAAAGAAAGAAAGAAAGAAATCTTGAGTGTCTAACACTGTTGCCTGTCTTAGGCAGCTCATGTAGTTCATTGTTTTGAGGAATAATGTCACCTGTGTGTTCAGAAGTGACCGAGGTATATTGGAGCTATTTTGCTGTTACACTGTGATGACTTGGTTCCACACGGGGTGGAGCGGTGGGGGCTGGGAGATAGGAAGGGGTGTAGCTGTGTTTGCAACTGTGTAGGACTGAATCTGCTCCAAGTCATTTCCTCTGTCTCTGCTCTTACCTCTTTTCATCAGACCATTGTTCATGGTCTCAGCTGGTGCCTCCTTCAGCACAAACTGAAGGTTACCAGGTTAAATGAGAAACTAAGTAGACGTTATATGTTAATTCAGTTACTTTATGCTATAACACGGGGAGGGAAACAAATGGAGCAAATAAACCACATAGGCTTTGTGACAGTGATTGTAATTGAGCCCAAAGATTTTGGTTTATGCCCAGCTTGAATGGATTTTCATGATTCTAGAAGGCTGAGAAATGACTGTAATTGAAAATCAAGGGACTTCCCTGGTGGCGCAGTGGTTAAGAATCTGCCTGCCAATGCAGGGGACACCGGTTTGAGCCCTGGTCGGGGAGGATCCCACATGCTGCAGAGCAATTGAGCCCGCGAGCCACAACTACTGAGCCTGTGCGCCTAGAGCCCATGCTCTGCAACAAGAGAAGCCACTGCAATGAGAAGTCTGTGCACCGCAACGAAGAGCAGTCCTCGCTCGCTGCAACTAGAGAAAGCTCGCGTGCAGCAATAAAGACCCAATGCAGCCAAAAATATAAACAAATAAATAAATAAATTTATGAAAAAAAAAGAAAATCAATATTGATAATAGCTCCTGAAGACCTTTCTTCCAAGCAGCTGGCAGCACTGAGAACTCCCTGTGGAAAAGACAGGAAGCAGGTATTTTGGTTTCCATTTTAGATGAGTTAACTAAAACTGGCTTTGCGCAGTGCAGCATAATCGTGTATATAGGTCTATGTGCTTATTAAGTCATTAATCAAGTTAGTTATTCAGGATATGATCTCTATCATAAGTACTGCATGGATGTGGGAAAAGGGGAAAGAAGGGGTCCTATATGTGCCTCTACTAACATTCCAGAGAGGAAGATGTTTTTACTTGTCAGAAACATGTTAGCACTGTGAAAAGTGCATGAAATCAGTCATTTGAGTAATTTAAATCATACTTCTATTTGTTCTGTGACACTAGTAGAAAAGATAATCCCCCCCCCCCACCAATAGATAGAAAAGCATAGCAAAGAAAAACCGAATACTTTGTACAACTCATTTGACAACACCACTAACAGTGTCACCTTGTAGTGGGGTTTACGACTCAGTTTCCGAGCAATCTCTGCCCTCCTTCCTCCACAAGTGTGCTACTCTGGTTATGCCTGTGCCTCTTCTCACCACCTCATTCAGCCCAGGCCTCCAGCCACCCTTAGCTGGAGTGTCAAAGTACCTGATAATTTAGGACTAATGAAAAACTCACTCAGTTTAACCTGCAACTGTGAGAAACTGCCTCCTAAGAGCTGCTGCCACTACAAATCTGGTTTGGAAGAACTCTAGGTATGAGTGTATCTCACATTTGGGAAAGTTTCTTTTAACCTTAAAAGTCCTACAGTTCAGCAGCAATACACAGTAAGTTAAATAACCCTCCTAGAGTCACGGAGCACATTAGAAGATGAAACAGGATTTCAGTTTCCAAAGTGAAGGTTTCCAATATATCAGCTAGTCCCTAATTAATAATAAAAGCATTCATATACAATGCTTTCCATTTTTACTTTGAGAAGTGAAAATGCTTATATTAACTTGTTTCTTTCCAGATGTGAGACGTACAATGACCACAGTCACTGTTTTCGTACAAAATAATAATAGGACCTACTATGAGCCAGACACTATTCTTTATACCTATGAGTTTACATTATGGCTTTATACATATTAACTCAGTTAAAGCTCACAGCCACCCTATGAATAGGTATCATTATTATTCTCACTTTATAGATGAGAAACTGAGGCACAGAGACGTTAAATAAAAGCTGTTCTATGTCACTCAGGTAGGAAGTGACAGAGCTGGGAGAATGAACCTTGGTGGTCTAGTTGTCCAGTGTGTCTTTATAACAATTATATCTGGAGAATTATACCACTGAGGAGAGAGGGAAGGCTGAACCCCTTACCTGGTAGAGGCTGACGTACTGTTTCCGCAGCCACTGCTGTCTTTGGTCAGGGAACTTCCTCATCTTTCTCACAGCTCTAGTGAGTTCCAACAATCCACTGAAGAGCATTTTAGCTGTGTGCTTTGGTGCCACAAAGTGCAACAATCTATTGTCCGTGGTCTGAAGCCCATAGAGCAGTGTCACACCAGTCTCTGAGAGAGACATGTTACTCAGTTTGCTCTGGACACACACAGTGTGTATATCAATGCTAGGGTGTCCCATGTACACAGCCTTTGCTGAAAACATATCCAAGACCCCCTCTGCCAGGCCACTTAATCCAGCATTGCCCAGTAATGGGAATTTGCCAGGCTCAGATGTGTTACTAAGCACACCAAGTTTTGCTTTAGCACTGGCTGGGGAGGCAGTGGTGGGCTTTATCCAGGTCAAGGTGCTATTGTCAGGCTGAAGCTGGAGGAAGCAGCGGGCAGAGAGGTGCATGTCCTGGTCATAGTGGATGACCGTGGCCCCCTGCAGCAGGAACTGGTGCACATCAGCTTGGATGGACAGCACGTACCACGGGATGAGCTCTGTCCCATGGTCAAAGGCCTTCTGTGGCTCTTCTGATCCGTGAGGGTCGCATTCTTGGGGCTGCTCAAAGATGTCATTTTCAGAATCCAACAAATCTCCAATTATAAACCTGATAGAAAGAGATACAAATTTGGTCTGCCTTATAAGCAGAAGTGAGAACAACAAAAAGCTTTCACTGACACTGGACACCATTTTTAATTCCACCATGAATTCAAATTAGCATAGAAAATATAAAATGCTAAAAGTCACAGAGTAATTTTTTTAGCTGTATTTGAAAACCTTATATTTAACAATATGTCTGACCAAAGGCTTAAAGAAAGGAACTACTAGATCAGTTACTGCATTTTTAAAGATTATTTTTGATGCGGACCATTTTTAAAGTCTTTATTGAATTTGTTACATTATTCTTTTGTTTTATATTTTGGTTTTTTGGCTGCGAGGCATGTGGGATCTTAGCTCCCTGACCAGGGACTGAACCCGCACCCTCTGCACTGGAAGGCGAAGTCTTAACCACTGGACCACCAGGGAAGTCCCCAGTTATTGCATTTTTAATGTAAACAACAATAATCTTCATTATTTATTAGTTTTTCCTTTTGTGTCAGGAACTGTGTTAAATACATACATTTTTGCACTTTATTTGACCTACTTGCAAACTAAGTTTTCTTATTTTCTTTTTAACCTATGGGGAAACTGAGGTTCAGAAGGGATGAGTAACTGCTCCAGGTTACCCAACTCAGAAGAGACCTACCCAAGGCAGGATTCTGGTCTGTCTGACCCTTTAGCCTGGGCTCTTTATTACTAGGTACGTTGCCTTCTACTTGGTCATAACAAAATGCAATGGGGCTAAAATAGGCAAAACAAGACTTAATAAGTGGCCCTGCGAAGTGCCTCTGCTAAAAATAAAATACAATTAGTTCAAAGGCACTCATTGGGAAATATTGTCATGGTGCCAGATAAGCAAGAACAGCCCTCCTTGACTCAACCTTAGATTTTCACTGTATGTGTGTGTGCGCCTGTGTGTGCACATGTGCACATAAAGGACTTGTCTGCTTGGACAGTTTAGCAAGTTGCCTTCCCTGAGTCAGGAGCCTGGATTACCAGGGCCAGAAGGATCTTAGGGGGAAGGCAAGGGAGCCTTTATTGCCTCCTTTCTATTTGGCCACTTGGTAGGAACATGCCTAAGAGGGACTCATTCTCTTCGAAGCATGAGGAATTGTTACTAAGATCAAGCTTTCTGCTGTTTGATCCATAGATATCACTAGCAAAGTGGTGGATAAAATTGAGAAGGAGTTGGTCCATACATCCCTGGGAAGGAATGTTCCCATGATCTTGAGGCAGTCGGGCAGCCGACTGCCTCTTGGCAAGGCATGAACAGCAGCCCTGGGCTTCTCAGACTCTCAGTCTAGATCCTGGTCCCTGAGCAAGATCCCACCTACTGCTTTCAAACAGCAAGAGGTTCTTCTTCCTTGCCCCACATAAATAGATATTCTTAAGAAAGAAAAGAAATCCACAAGGGATCTCACAAACCTGATGGTCAGAATATCCTTTTCAAATCACCCACACTGGAAACACTGGAAACAACCCAAATGTCCAGCAACAATAAAATGTATAAATAAAATTTGAAGTAATTCATACAACACAATCCTGCGCAGCAATGAAAATGAACATGCAATGGCTGACTACCTGCAACAACATGGACAAATCTTAAGCAAGACATACAGGCATATATACTGTATGATTACATTAATATAAATTTCAAAGCCAGGGAAAACTATACTATATTGTTTAGAGAGGCATAATGGTGGTAAAATTTAAAGAAAAGCAGGATGTACTATCATACAATCACAACAGTGAACTTTTGTTTAGGGAGAGAGGTGGTGACATAATTGAGAAGGGAAACAAGGGGTTTGTGGGTGCTGACAATGTTTTCACTCTGGGTGGTAGTTACACATGCATTCACTTGAAACTATTCAAAAGCATTAGTTTTTTTTTTTTTAATTTAATTTTAGAATAGTTTTAGATTTGTAGAGAAATTGCAAAGACAGTATACCCCACATCCAGTTTTCCCTATTATTAACATCTTACATTAAGGGTGGTATATTTGACACAATTCATGAACCAATACTGTGATACATTATTATTCATTAAAGTCTATACTCTGTTTAGACTTCCTTAGTTTTTTACCCATTTGCCTTTTCTGTTCCAGGATTCCATCCAGGAACCCGTATTGCATTTAGCCATCATATTTCTTTATGTCACAGTTTCTCAGACTTTCCTTGTTTTTGATGGTCTCGACAGTTTTGAGGAGCAGTGGTCAGGCATTTTGTAGAATGACCATCAGTTAGAATTTGCCTGGTAATTTTCTAATTTTCTCATAATTATTCTGGGGCTCTGGGTTCTGGGGAGGAAGACCACAGAGGTAGAGTGCCATTCTCATCACACCATATTCAGGGAACATACTATCATCACGACTTACTCTGTTGATGCCGACCTGGCTGAGGTAGTGCTGGTCATGTCCACTGTAAAGTTACTTTAAAAAAAAAAAAGAACTCCTTTCTACACTGTAATCTTTGGAAGGAAGTCACTGCGTGCAGCCCACACTTAAGGAATTCTGCTCTACCTTCTAGAGGGTGGCGTGTATACATAAGTTATTTGGAATTCTTCTGCATGGGAGATTTGTCTCTTCTTCCCTATTTGTTTGTTTATTTATCATTTACGTATATGGACTCATGAATATTTATATAATACTTTGGGTTATAATCTAATACTACTTTATTTTGTTGCTCAAATAGTTCCAGTTGGCAATCGGGAGCTCTTTCAGTTGGCTCTTGTAGTTCTTTGACATAACCTCATTATTTTGTTTTTTTTTTTCTCAGCACTTCTTTAGTTTTTGGCACAAGATGCTCCAGGCTTATCTTGTGTATTTCCTGTCCCAGTCCTAGAATCAGCCATTTCTCCAAGAAACTTTGCTTTCTTTCACTGAAAAATGTTATTAGAAATCAAAATTTGGGTGCTAGGTGCAAATCCACTCTTTTTTATGCACTTTTTTTTTTTTCTTTTTTCTTTTGTGGTACGCGGGCCTCTCACTGTTGTGGCCTCTTCCACTGCGGAGCACAGGCTCCGGACAAAAATTTGAAGTAATTCATACAACACAATCCTGCGCAGCAATGAAAATGAACATGCAATGGCTGACTACCTGCAACAACATGGACAAATCTTAAGCAAGACATACAGGCATATATACTGTATGATTACATTAATATAAATTTCAAAGCCAGGGAAAACTATACTATATTGTTTAGAGAGGCATAATGGTGGTAAAATTTAAAGAAAAGCAGGATGTACTATCATACAATCACAACAGTGAACTTTTGTTTAGGGAGAGAGGTGGTGACATAATTGAGAAGGGAAACAAGGGGTTTGTGGGTGCTGACAATGTTTTCACTCTGGGTGGTAGTTACACATGCATTCACTTGAAACTATTCAAAAGCATTAGTTTTTTTTTTTTTAATTTAATTTTAGAATAGTTTTAGATTTGTAGAGAAATTGCAAAGACAGTATACCCCACATCCAGTTTTCCCTATTATTAACATCTTACATTAAGGGTGGTATATTTGACACAATTCATGAACCAATACTGTGATACATTATTATTCATTAAAGTCTATACTCTGTTTAGACTTCCTTAGTTTTTTACCCATTTGCCTTTTCTGTTCCAGGATTCCATCCAGGAACCCGTATTGCATTTAGCCATCATATTTCTTTATGTCACAGTTTCTCAGACTTTCCTTGTTTTTGATGGTCTCGACAGTTTTGAGGAGCAGTGGTCAGGCATTTTGTAGAATGACCATCAGTTAGAATTTGCCTGGTAATTTTCTAATTTTCTCATAATTATTCTGGGGCTCTGGGTTCTGGGGAGGAAGACCACAGAGGTAGAGTGCCATTCTCATCACACCATATTCAGGGAACATACTATCATCACGACTTACTCTGTTGATGCCGACCTGGCTGAGGTAGTGCTGGTCATGTCCACTGTAAAGTTACTTTAAAAAAAAAAAAGAACTCCTTTCTACACTGTAATCTTTGGAAGGAAGTCACTGCGTGCAGCCCACACTTAAGGAATTCTGCTCTACCTTCTAGAGGGTGGCGTGTATACATAAGTTATTTGGAATTCTTCTGCATGGGAGATTTGTCTCTTCTTCCCTATTTGTTTGTTTATTTATCATTTACGTATATGGACTCATGAATATTTATATAATACTTTGGGTTATAATCTAATACTACTTTATTTTGTTGCTCAAATAGTTCCAGTTGGCAATCGGGAGCTCTTTCAGTTGGCTCTTGTAGTTCTTTGACATAACCTCATTATTTTGTTTTTTTTTTTCTCAGCACTTCTTTAGTTTTTGGCACAAGATGCTCCAGGCTTATCTTGTGTATTTCCTGTCCCAGTCCTAGAATCAGCCATTTCTCCAAGAAACTTTGCTTTCTTTCACTGAAAAATGTTATTAGAAATCAAAATTTGGGTGCTAGGTGCAAATCCACTCTTTTTTATGCACTTTTTTTTTTTTCTTTTTTCTTTTGTGGTACGCGGGCCTCTCACTGTTGTGGCCTCTTCCACTGCGGAGCACAGGCTCCGGACATGCAGGCTCAGCGGCCATGGCTCACGGGCCCAGCCGCTTCGCGGCATGTGGGATCTTCCCAGACCGGGGCACAAACCCGTATCCCCTGCACCGGCAGGTGGACTCTCAACCACTGCACCACTAGGGAAGCCCGAGCATCCCAATTTTTAAAATGTAAAACTTACTGCCATCGGGCTTTATCCTTCAAGGAATTTTTCTTAGCGCTGCTCCCCTCACTGGGGCTGTCCTCCTCTTCTGTCTCCAGACTTCGACTGCAGCTCCTGATGATCTGAAAGATGCTGTTGACGGTGGACTCCTTCTCTGAATTCTTTAAGCCATTCTGTCCCACTCGTTGTAAGAAATTATCTTGTCCACTATAATCGGCTACAAACTACAGAAAAATATATTGAGGATTTGTGATTGCAACTTCACATACTACATCTAAATAACCTACTTAGCTAGGGAAACGAAATTGTAACAGTCATAAATAATGGCATTTGTGCCTATTTTACTGGGGCAAAGAAAACCTCCAGGAAAAACACTTTTTTCCTTTCACCGCATGAAATACCAAAAGTCACTCTCGTTTCCACTAAGACAACTTTAGTCCCTCTAGGAATCAACACTCCGCTTTGAATTTACAACATAAAAAGCAATATTATTTCAAGGTTCCCTAGGGAGAAGATCAGCCACTTTACAGAGGAAGGACAGGGTTATTTTATCCTTGTAGTGAAAATTGAGAAAAACCATGACAAAAGTGTATTATTCTATGGAACTGGATAAAATTACTGGGGCCCAAGAAAATGATGGAGAAAGGGGGACATTTCGCTTTATTTCCCATACATCTTATGGTATAACACAGAGGCTTCCTGCTGGTTTATAAGCTCTTATTGTCTGTATTTGTGATCAGGAAGTTTCTCCCATCAGAAGTCAGAGTGAGACAGGCTGGGACCTGGGACCCTTTGCTGGGACCGGGGACCCTTTGCTGCAGTGCTGGGACCGGGGACCCTTTGCTGGGACCGGGGACCCTTTGCTGCAGTGCTGGGACCGGGGACTCTTTGCTGGGACCGGGGACCCTTTGCTGCAGGGCTGCAGTGCTTGCACCTGGACACACCTCTCCTCCAGCAACAAAATGCAAAGAAACTGTATGGGACTAAAAATAACCGGGTGCATGCACAGTTGGGGCAAATTCTAGACCCAGAAGATACAAAGAGACCAAAAAAACCCAACTGCCACTTTTGAAGAGTGGGGAGCAAAAGCAGGGTACTGAGCATGCCCCATGCACACAGCACCACCAGAGGGGTTGGCAAAACACCTAAGCCACCCCTCTGGCCCGACCCCTGGACACATGCCTACCCTCACCCCATATAAGGAACAAGCTCTCCCCACCCGCGCTCAGGGAGCAAGCAAGCAGGGGAACCTATCGTTTGTTCTCACTCCCCCCAGCTGCAGCAGGGGCCCCAGTAAAGCCTTGCCTGGATTTCTTGTCTGGCCTGTAGTCAATTTCTATTGATTGGGGAAGGCCAAGAACCCTGGTCGGTAACGAGGGGCAGCTAGGCCGTGAGATAGGGTGTTCCTGCCTTCTGAGACATGAGGGAGGCGGTGTGGTGCAGCTTGGGGGGGGGCTTGCTTTAAGCTTTCTCCTCCATTTCTTGCACTTTATCCCCCCACCCCCCCACCCCCCCC